ACTGTACACTAGAATCATCAGTTAAGTTTTACGCTTTCTACAGTTCCCATGCAACTTTAAATTATGGTATCCTAAAGAGTGTACAATAAAACAGTAAAAAAAAATAATGAGCATACTCAGAGTATAGGCACACATAGCTTGTACACCTATAAATGTGTATAGGTGTCTTTTCTGCAGAAAGAGGTTCTGGATCTTTGTACGAGTTGGACTTATATACAAGGACATTGATGCAGTATCTGTACAGACGTTAATCCAAATTCATGGAAAATTAAAACAGATCTGTGTTTAACAATGTATTGACTATCCACTGACTTCTGATGGAAGGGGTTTTCAATCACAATTTTTCCCCACCTTGGCCTGTGCTTCACAATTAATGCAAAGCCTTAATAGCAAGCCAGCAACAAACCTCATGTTGATAAGTTGAATTAACAACAAAACAGCTGTCCATGAGTGGTTCACTGGCTCTGTGTCTCCTCCTGAGTTGTGTTTTAAAGCTGTTGTATACAGCAAACAAAACTCCAGGGAATCCATGTTTAAAGTGGAATAATGAGGCAAAAGATAGTCTAGAAGTGGGAGTCTTCCACATCTGGCAAGATCCAAGGTGCAGACTGTACAAAGAGGCCTTTGAGACAGTCAAACACATAGTAGTCAGATGCAAGATGTTAGCAGTAACAGCATACATGGATAGACACAACCAAGTTGCTGGGATTGTGTATCGAAACATCTGCACAGCATATGGGCTGGACCTGCCTAAGTCCAGATAGGAGATACCACAAAGGTAGTTGAGACTGATAGGGCTAAGACTCTGTGGAATTTTCAGATTTGGACAGACAAGCAAGTAATGGCCAACGAACCTGAAATCGTGGTGGTGGACAAGGAAAAGAAGGCTGTAGTTGTGGTGGATGAGGCAATACCCAGTGAATATAACATCAGGAAGAAGGAACATGAGAAGATGAACAAATACCAAAGACTCAAATAAGATCAAGAAAGGATGTGGAAAGTTAAGACAGTAGTAGTCCCAGTTGTTATAGGAGCACTCAGTGCTGTGACTTTTAAGTTGGGGGTGTGGCTTCAACAGATACCAGGTGGGGCACCTGAGATTGCTACCCAGAAGAGTGCAGTTCTAGAAACAGCTAAGATACTACGCCGAACCCTCAGACTCCTAGGCCTCTGGTAGAGAACCCAAGAATGAGGAATAAATATACCACTCAAGAAGAGTGAGAAAATCAATGTTATATACACACACCCAGAAGAGTGCAGTTCTAGGAACAGCTAAGATACTGTGCAGAACCCTCAGATTTCCATGCCTCAGGGAGAGCATGAAAGAAGGAGGAAAACATTGTAGGATATCTGACAACACACAGAAAAGTATATATATATATATATATATATATATATATATATATATACTGTGATCCTTGTTTGCAGGTAGCACGGTCCTCTAGGGCAAAAACATGCACAGTCCTTGTAAATGCATATACTCCAGGCACTTTATTTTTAAATCCACACAGGATACAGCAGTAAATGCAAAACATAAATGTAACACAAAACCTTATAAACAAAAACCTAGCTCGTCTGAGCACTAACTCACTTTGAATAACCCTCTCTATCAGGGTTAAACTAACAAAACATACTGCACCAACCTTATTAGTTAGCAACACTCTGCTAGCTAGCCTGTTGCTTTCCTTTCTGCACTCCCAGTGCTCCAAGCCAGCCTTGCCCTGGCTGCTTTCCTTTCTGCACTCCCAGTGCTTAGTCTCCTTGACTCTATCTGGAGAGAACAGCCTCTCTCTCCTACCTGCTTCCTGGGAGGAAGCCAGCAATCCCTCTCCTTTACCTGCCTAGCAGGGAGGAGTTTATTCCCACTGCAACAGCTCATTAACTGCAGCTGAGCAGTGGGTTGGAGACGGTCCAAAAAACCCTGGCCTGGATCTACGTCTCCCCAGAAACCCACTAAACTGTGGAGTGGAGCATTGGCCCACCCTTCTCTCCAAATGCTCCACCCCAGGGGCCCATAACTAAGCAAAGCTTTGTGTTGTGCAACACAGAAACTACACGTACTTCCCCTGGGGTTAAAAGGCCTATCTGCCTTCACTTTATCACAATACATATATATATAGATTGATAGATAGATAGATACACACCACCAAGGAGTGGTATGAAAATAATGATAAATAAAAAGATAGAATTCTTGGGTAAAGAATTGTAATGAGAGGTGCCTTACCCATGTATTTCCTATTCATTCTCTCTATCTTACCTCCTTCTTCTCCTTTGTCTAACACTGTTCCACTGCATAATGCTGATTTTAGGTAAGTGTTTGATAAAAAAGAAGCTGATAAATTACCATCACATAGGACCTATGACTGTGCTATAGATCTACTCCCTGGTACCATGCCTCCTGGTAGGATGTATCCATTGTCATCTAAGAAAAAACAGATAATGGAGGAATATATCCAGGACTCTTTGATCAAGGGTTTTTTTTCATCATTCAACATCATTTCCTGGTGCTGGGTTCTTCTTTGTGTCCAAGAAGGAGAAAGATCTCGACCCTGTATAGATTATAGGAGTTTGAATAAGCTCACTTTGAGAAATGTTTCCTTTGATCAGAGATTTTTGATAGGCTGAAAGGGGATAACTTTTTTAAGAAACTTGATTAGAGACGAGCATTTTACTTAGCTCGTGTTGAAGAGGGTCATGAATGGAAGACAGTCTTTACAACCAGGAGCATTATAAGAACAATGTTATGCTTTTAACTCTTTGTAATGCCCTGGCTGTCTTCCAAGACCTGATAAAAGATGTACTCCAAGAGTATATACATACCTTTGTAATAATATTACAAGCCAGACTACTAGAGAAAGGCTTGTATTGTAAGCTTGAGAAATGTCTATTTGGAAAACAGGGGGGTTCGTTGCAGAATTTCTAGGTCTGGCTTATCTATTGATACTGACAAACAATTCCCTCCCTCATAACTAATATAAGAAGAAAGGTAAGTATTATGAGGGTTTGGTCTCTGGAGGCATCACTGGAAGATGCTTAAGAAGACTTTAGTTCCTGCTCCTGTGATCAAACATTCAGTCACTGTCAAACCATTCATTCTGAAGTAAATGCCTCTGAGAAATTAGATAGAGCAGTGCTATCACAAAGAGAAGCTCATGATAATCCTTTACATCCATGTCATTTCTTCTCTATGAAACAAAACCAGTCCTAAAAAAATGTATTTCTATTGTTCTGGATTTCATAGAGTGGAGGCACTTGATGGAGGGTTCCAAGGATCTTGTCATGATTGTCACGGATCACAAAAAGCATATATCATATATATGTATCAAAAATCGTATATTGGTAGGATGAAATAACTTTTTTCTAGGCAAGCTAGAGGGTCCTTGGTTTTATGTTGTTTTCTTATGTCATCGCATACTGACCTGGAACACCTAATACATAAGCAGATGCTCTATCTATACAGATTGATCTTGATGAAGATATAATAGAAACATCTCCTAGTGTTCCTCCTGAAATGACTCTAGCTACAGCCATATTGTCCGTGTTCTCATCTTTGCTAGATAAGACTCATTCTAAACAAGATCAGACAACCAATGATAAATCTTTAAATGATTTGTATGTATGTCCTGAGAGACCTCAAATGGTTATTGCTTTCGCCAATTAATAAGGTGCTCATCTACTAAGCTGTGCTATCCTATTTAAGGATGCAACAAAAAGTATCATAACGTGCTTTTTTCTTAAATGTTTCTTAGTCAAAGATAAGCAACACTTAGGAGACAAGAACTTTATAATATTTTCTAAATAATATACTATTTTTGATTAGAATAGCATAATTTAGTAGGTGAGCATTAATAATCTCCTGGGGCATAATGTATTTTAATATGTGTTTTGGATTTTATCATTTGGTTTTATATGTTGGATTTTAAGGATTTTATACACAATTAGCATTAGAGGATAATCACCCTTACTGAAACTAATTATTATTTCCCTTTTTCTTTTAAATAATGAATCAACTCTTTAAAAAGGTTTGAATTTGTCTTTTGTTAAAAAAAAATAGGTTTCAGTACATATAATACTTTTCCACACTCTGACTAATATGTTTCTAATTGTAACATATTAACATACCTAAGGACCAGAGCCATTGTATTCCATTGAAGCATACAAGTTACATCCACAGATTGAGGACTCTGTGGATATATAAAGCAATAAAGAGAATGACTTTACATGCGCTTGAAAAAGCCTCAAGGGGAGAGGGGAATGCATAGCGTCACATGCCAGGGGATCGCTACCCAGAGGTAAGGAGCAGTGAAACACTGTGGGCTGGTGAGAAATCAAGTCCATGGACTTCGAAGTTTATATGTATTGACTTTGTAAACTTTGCTTTCTCTACTGCACATATTTTCTACTAAGCCGCTAAACACCAGTGCAACTTTCTTCTGGTCTGTACTCTTCCTTTTAATGTATAAATAAGGATTCAATTATATCAACAGGGAGATTATTTTCATTTCATTTACTTAGATCTAAACTTGTGATTTGGTCCAACAGTCAGATTTAAAAAACAAAACCACATAACATTGGTGAGTGAACCAAAGAATACACGTGTGTGGATATGCTTGTCCATAATATTTTGATATATTTTTTTAAATCTGCCATTATGAGAGAAAGATATTTCACATAATTTTATTTGAAGACTTGTATATTAATAGAAAATCTGCTACATAATAAATGTTGTGCCTGCCTAACATCCCCAATATTTATGTTCTTAATTCTTAGTTATACATCTAAATGATTAATCTGCTTTACAGTCCAATTTATATAATTAAAGTTCTATTTTACATGGACCTTTGTCATAAGCCTAGTTATGTGCTGTCATTTCTGTTTACTATATCTAAACCTTTGTGTCCCTAGCCCAGAAAGGGCTATATTCTTCATAATATCCCAGTCGGGATTATTTTGTACAGTGCTGATTACCAAAACTCTAAAGAAAACATTACAATAGAATCTTAACATTTTCATGATTTATTAATATCTATACAGTCAAATAAAGGGTACAATTTCAGTTTAGTAGAACTCTTGGACACGTCTTAAGGAGCCAACTTTGGAATTAGGAGCTCCCCATTCAGAGAATCTCCTGTACTCTCCAGGCCTCAGGTAATACTGACGCCCGCGATAGTTAGGTTCTTCATAGAAGATCCAGTGGCCTTCCAGAACATTGCAGGAGAAAATGTCATGGTATCTAAATTCTTCATGGACATGAGGGCAGTCTTCAGTGAACTCCAGCATTGCACCATTGAAGTCTTCTTTCTCATAGACCCTGATTCTAAATGTCCCACGATGCTGAAAAATACATAACAATGAGTACAAATACAAAAACGATTGGTTACCTTTTTATTTAATTTCTTTTGCCTTTCTATTTAGGCTTCAATTAGATATTATCCTTTAGTTATACAGGTACCTGTACATGTTAGTTAATTTAGTTATAGGTAACATTATTGCTATTTACCCATTTTCATATATAATAATACATGTTTGATTTTATGTGTTTTTTAATAGATATTGGACTATATTATAAAGCTATAAATGGACAAATCTTGGTAATAAAACAAAGTAAAAAGTTACTTGTGCACTATCCCAAATCCATATGAACATTTAAATAACTAGAGGTTTTTCAGTATCACTCCAATGGCCATTAGAGTGTAAGTTCTCCTGCCACGTCAAGACGCTAACAATTCACCTTGCTACTTTCAGCTAAAAGGCAAAACCTCTGATGAGACAGAAATGGGTATTTTTCAAAATCCCTATACACTTATTAAACCTTAATAGGGGTGGTTTTGCAGATTCTGGTAAAGTCCATAGTGTTATATTGGGTGCTTATATAAAGGGAGCTTTAAATTAGATGTTCCTGAAATACATTCCTAATCAGCTTCCTCTCTCTTCATATTCAAGAAAATATCAGAGTAACTGCATAGAGATGGATTGGCGCCAGTTTGGAAGTATTACAGGAGTGATTTACTGTGACATGGGTCAAAACATACGTAAATTGCAGCCCTCCCCCGTAACCCCCAAAAAATATATATTTTTATAGGTTTTTTTTGTTTGTTTTTTTGTATGGAATCTATAGCATTTCTAGTAAATAAGAAATGTAAATCTTTCTGTGAGGTGTTGACTTGGAATGTCTCTGCTGTTTAGTCAGATATATAGAATTAGTGTATTGGTGGGGTAGGGATAGAGGCTGAAAAAAGCATCTAGTATCTGAAATTAAAATGTGAAAATTATAAGGTGGGGACAAAGAAAAGAAATACCTTGGTAATGATTGCGAATAAGAGTGACAAATGTGCATGCGTAAGTGAAAGGGAGAAATTATTTTTAATATGCCATGCAAAGATGAGGGAAAGAATAACATCAAAAAGTAAAGTAAGAGTAAATATAGCTTTCTATAGCTTTCTTAAAAACATGTTTAGAAAATATTATATTCGGCTAAAGATATAGTAGACATCTTGTTTTGAAATATATTATGGGAAGAGCACAGTGCAATTTGATATCATATTTCAAACCTATATTATGCAAATACTATCATATATATAAATATTATATAATATGGTGGAGTGGAGAAAGAGGGTTGATGGACAAATAAATTGATATTCAGGTGATCAGCATTTACTAATCAATGATAAACATGTGTATAATTAAATGTTTACTTGTGGAATAATGCGGCAAGATCTAATGGAGTCATTGTGACTTGTCCAGTGGGAAAAATCAGGATATTCTCCCCTCTTCAGAAAGTACTGGTTCCCTCTGTAGTTGGGGTGTTCATAAAGCATCCAGTTTCCATTCTCCACTCGAATGGAGTTGCAGCGGCTGAAGTATGAATTCAGTTCGGAACAATCAGAGCTGCACTCATAAGAGCGTCCCTGGAAGTCCCTGTCCTCATAGAAAACGATCTGCAATGGAAAGTTGTTAACTTATTAACATGAATAACCAATACCTAAATTTTAACCCCTCTTGTGTTCAATAACATGCCAAAAAATGTCAGGTATTAAAGAGACACTTTCAGATAACAGTCTCGTTCACAGCTTTAGCTTTGAATAAGAACATTGCCTCACTTTGCAGGCTACAAATAATTTTAATGTTTACCTGCTTTATCTTTCTTATGATTTCCACACCCACTCCAGCGGGGAAAATGATCTAACCAATCAGTGTTTTATCCCTTGGTATCCTGGAAAAGGGCATTGGGCATGCCTGACAGATTTACACATGTTCAAAATCTCATGTAGAGAGGAAGTCTGAAAAGATGCTTGCCTTGAAAGTCACCTATTGCTTCACATTTGAGAGATTCAGTCTGCGACTATAGACTGACCTTTCTCTCATACCAGCCTTACAATTAGGAGCATATCATTCTGGTCTGTAGGGCTAATCTTATCGCTTACAGATTTATTCACTAAAGCAAGAATTCAAAGTGAATTCAAAGAAAATGTTAAATTTAAGGCCAGAGTAGCCAAACTGGAATCACAGCTGACTTTTCCAGGATTTTTCCAGTTTGACTTTTTTTAACTTGATTTTTAAATATACGCACACAAAAAAGTAGGAGGAACTGGAAAAACACTTCAGAAAAAATACATAAAATTTCCAAGCAAAATAGTACTCACTATGCAGCATAAAGCCCCTCATGGTTGCTCAGGCAGTGAAAATACACAGTACAAATAGAAAAAAATGTTGCTGTGTGAACAAAACAAGGTGCTACTGACATTTATTTGAATGAAGGATATATAACAAACGCTTCTGTGTAATCCCTTTGTCAATACATCACGTCCCTCCCCCTGCCAGACTGATTTTATAGTCTATTTTCTAAAGTGCCCATGTGGCTTAGGCTATGTGGGCAAAACCATACATGCACTAAAAGACCGCATATCAAAGCATAAAACAACCATCCACAGCCTTAAAGCATACACATCTGTAGCTCGACATTTCAGGGAAGTGCGATGTAACCGCAGCCGGTTCCCCTATTTACCACTATAAAGTCTTAAAGCATAGCATTTAACGGGGGCGAACCATACAAATATCTTAACCATAATATTATATAGTTAGTAAGAGTTCATCTATAGTGATGTCCCGAACTGTTCGCCGAACGGTTCGCGAACGGTTCGACACGAACGGTTCGCCGCGGACTCATCATTGAGTAAACTTTGACCCTGTACCTCACAGTCAGCAGACACATTCCAGCCAATCAGCAGCAGACCCTCCCTTCCAGACCCTCCCACCTCCTGGACAGCTCACTAAGAATGCAGCTTCACAATGGATGCTGTCCAGGAGGTGGGAGGATCTGGGAGGGAGGGTCTGCTGCTGATTGACCTACACACAAACAGTCAGAACTAACTTGGCAAACCACACTCTACCACTCCGAGACCTAACTGACACAGGAAACAGAATGGAACAACACAAGATAAAACAAAAGGATACTAATAACTACACCAAACACACAGTATAAAGACAAAGGCAATTTAGACATACAAATCAAAATACTTAATTTTCCTTAAGTCTACCCCCTTTTTTTTTATTTATAATTGCTTCCGGTACGGAAGACCATTGTTTAAAGCTATAAAGGCATGTATAAAACATATGTATATAAGCTCACTTAAAAATAATTTCATATCACGTTAGTTTATTCACTGACCATGTATTGGATATAGTTATATAATAAGTTAGTCAGGGATAAAGAGCTTCTCAAAAGTCTTAAGGTTTCACCTTTTACAAAATGATCAGATTAAATAACTGTTCTTATAATAATTTCTGGATCCAGTAGCTCTATTAGAGGTGAAAAAAGAGGGATCCAGTCTAAATATGTACATCCTGCATGATCAGGCAATCCTCAATAACAAAATCGGTAGTACGGTCATTAGGTCTAATTGAATGCAGGAGGGACCCCCCTCTATGCAGTCATCGTTGTCCTACACAGGTACAAGCCTGTGCAATGAACAAATGGACAGCACCGTAGTGCGTTGAGTGCATGAGAGAGCCGCGCCCTCCAATAATGTGGCCGAACTCCGTGTCAGCGTCCGGCTGATAGTCTGAGCGGGCCACACTCGTTAATAACCAAATAGTAGAGTCTACATGCGTGACCAGTTTCCTCTACGAGAATGTGTCACTCAAAACATGTCCTCTATATCCAACTTAGTATCAGGTTGAAGTTGAGGGAGGGCTGTGCCCTCTAATAACAAATCAGTGTCCGGTTCCGTATATGAAAGGGGTTCACTCTCTGTACGTGAAAATAAAATATCATTCTTGGATCGAGGTGATGGAGGGCCTCACCCCCTTGTAATCCAAGCTACAGTCCCATAGAGACTAAGGGTGACCAACTGCAGGGGTACATCATTTACTAATATCAGCATAAGACTGAGATCCCGAGGTGGGTCTCTCTCTGACCCTTAGACCTCTCTCTGAATCGCTCACCTGAGAGGGAATCAACTGTTAATAAACCAAACTGATGGAGGATGGAATAGTAAAGGGATGGTGAGAGCATGCAACCTTCAGAAACAATTATGGAAACTACCAACTGACCGCCCGGATCCCGTGCACGCGCGCGGGGTCCAGGATGACCGTCGGTAGCCTGAGGAAAGCTGGAGACGTTCTCCGCAATCCACGAGAGCCTGGGAGGTCGGAGGAGGTCAAGACAAGCCACACGACAACCCAAGCCATAGGACAATACGAAGGCTCGAAAACCAAGAAACGACAAATAATGTAGATAACGGCAAATACGTACCTCGTAGAGAAGGTAAATAGCAGATCGGAAAAACAAGCCAAGTAAACCCAACTGAAAGGGTCAGGGCTAAACCTGACATAGGACTAAGTACCAATACCTAAAATGGATACTGGGAAGGCAGCTAAATGGTTAGTTGCTGAAGGCAAGGCAACCATGCTCTCCTGTTGGCATCTGTTGCACTGGTCCCTGCTTGTGCAAAATTCTCTTTGGAGATGTGCCACCGCCGGGTTGGTGCAAACCGTGGTGGCGCGCCCGGGGATTCTCAAAAGAAAACCTTGCCCTTCAGGGCATGAGGATTAGGGCCTTCACCCTTCCAATCATATTGAGGTGCCCGTATACTGGTGTCCTCTTGGATAGTAAATCAGCAGTGCTTGCCTGGGTACCCACTTATGTCCATGTCAATAGTGGGTACTGGGCTCTCCTCAGTGATATCCTCCCAGGCCCGCGGCCAAAAGGGATTTCGGGCCCAGATAGCTCAGACCAAACAAAGGGCACAGATAGAGCAGGCCAGTCATAAGAGCATAGACATAGCAGGCCAATCAATGGGGCACAGACATAGCAGGCCAATCAATGGGGCACAGACGTAGCAGGCCAATCAGTGGGGCACAGACATACCAGGCCAATCAGTGGGCACAGACATAGCAGGCCAATCAACGGGGCACAGACAGAGTAGGCCAATCCTGGGTTGCGTCTGAACACCATATTCACTGAATATAGGTAAGAGGTAATTTTTTAAAGAAACATTGTATGAAAAACAATACATTCCATTTCTAACAACTTGTCAGTTTGGCAGAGTCCCCTAATATTTGTCAATCTTCAGGGTAACCTGACATAGGATTACCTGGCACCAACCCTATTAGACAGCGTAATACTCTGTTAATAACGTATAGCTAGGACTAGTAGTCCCTAAAAGCCCAGCAGGCAATAGTGGTATTCCATCTGTAATGGATATAGGCTGAAAATGCTCCAGTGATATAGTGTCCATTAAATAATGATATACTGAGCGATTCATTTTAACTGTGAGTAGGGTATGCACATGAACATGCAGATCTGTTTGAGATTTCTTCATCAAAATTATGCATCAACAGCATGCCACTTGAAGGTTATTGTAGCCATGGTATACTCAGGAGTAGGGCAAAACAATTGCCAACTCAATGCACCCTCTTATTGAGCTTGGAAGCGACCACCTTCCAACTCTACCAGCCACAGAACCTGATAGGATTGAATTAATGTCAGCATAGACTGGTCTCCCATACCAGTTTGAGCCAGAGCCAGGTCTGTTTAGCTACATATTTGCCATGGACAGTGAATATCATCCTAAAGTAGTCCCATCTCTGACTCCAGAGATGGGTCAGGAACATATATACTGATGCACCAGGATATGCACCTAAGAACATATGCTTAATTGTGCAATATAAATGTTATCACATACTTGGATTTATTACAAATCCAAGTGACCCCTGATCTCACTGTCAAACTGGTTCTGTATGAGCCGTGTAACAGTCAAAACTGAATAATTATACAGGATATGGAGAAGCATAAAATGTATATTGAAAACGTACATTAAACCCCCAGAAGCAAGATACTGCTTTTTTATATGTTAAGCCATTGAGCATAGCCAGAAAGACAGCGTGGGAAGACAACTGCGGTCCGATCACCGTTTCTGGAGGAGGGGCCGCGAGCAGGCACACCCTCCTCTAGCCAGTCAGATGCATGCGGCTCTCTGAAGAAGCCGACCGCGGCGAGGGGGCCACGTGGGTGAGCGGGCCCGGCCGCCAGGTACCGCGTCCGACAGCGAGAAAACCCTGGGCACCGGCAGGCTCACACTGCAGCTAGGGGAGTCAGAGGAGGCAGCCAAATGGCTAGTCTCCTGACTCCCCGAGCGCAGCCTCCCATAGCCCGCGGGTGGGGGGGCTAATGAATGGCACTAGGTAGTGGGATAAGGGGGGGGGTCGTACACCGCAATGAATCCCCAGGGATCCCCCTAAAACCACCACATGGAAGGAAAAACATCCCCAAAGGACAGGGGAAGCAAGTAAATAACGGGCAGTAAGCCCGAAGCAAAAATATATATATACATATATAACGAAGAACAAAAATGTAATATATAAAAAAAATAAACATTTAATATGATATGAAATATAAAAGATATAATTACAATTCATAAACATAAAACATATATAATAAATATAATATGATATCAAAAGAAATAAATATATGACTAAATACAATAAATATAATATATAAATAATAAATATATAACATGATAGCTAAATATAATAAATGCAATATATATAATATATAAATAATAAATCTATAGCATGATAACTAAATATATTAAATATAAATCCTAAATAAGTCATACTAAATCCCAAAGCCCCCAACTAGAAGCAGGAGGCAGTGGTACTCTGACCTGTACTGATGCGGAGCAGCAAAGAAAGAGGAAATGATGCATGGGGAGGGGAGTTTTATAGTACCTAACTTTTTTCTGATTGGTTGTTTTTCTGTGCTGCTGTTCTAGTAAAGAGAGACTTAAGCAAATACAAAGCCTCCTGTCATGTTATAAAATTCAAAGCCTGAAATCAAACATCCACCTCTAAGAGGGGTATATATAGCAGGAACCAGCCCAAAGAGGATCCACAAGACTTTTTTTCATCCAGCTGAGGAAGCCTATACGGAAGCCGAAACGCGTCCTGGAGAATTGTGAGACATAGACTCTATATACGGGACTTATTATGCCCAAATAGTGTTTGTTTTATTTTTTATATATCTTTTATATGTATACAATAAAGTTTAATATTTTTTATATACTCACTATTGGCATTTTTCCTGCTATTTAAAGAAGGAGTGTGGTCCTCAACCACACAGGCTACTTCATTTGAGCCTATTTGGAAGGCTCTGGGTTTGTAAGTATCCCCGTTACCTTAAATCTTATATAAGATAAGACCTACATTACTACACCATATGTGTTCTCTCTCAATTTGTCATACAGGATAAGAAGGAAAAAGAACACCACCCAAAGAAGGGAGAGAGTCGCCTCTTCTGATCCTAAGAGCGCAGTAATTGAGCTTAATCTTTTAGCTCAAAAAATTGTGAGTGGGAAATTTTACTTTATTCCTTCCTATATTCCATTTTACGGTTTACACTATGATTTTGTTTTTTTCTCTGTATTTATATTTTTAAGGAACAACATACCATTAGGATTCAATATAGGATAATCCTAAAGGTATATATATACGATTATATCCTTATTTTTCTTTGCACTAAAAACTCACCGATACAAAAATAAGCGCTTCACCATCCCACTGGTTCGAAATCTCTATTGTATAAGATAAGCTTGTGGTGAAATAGCAGCTGTTTATAAATTGTCTTTCACAAGTTTGTGATATTATATACTCTTTCAATATTAGCGCTGGTACCACCCATTTTTTTAAAGCGTAAGGGTGCACATGACATGGGAAATTCCCTGACTTGGGGAATTATACAAACCTAGGACAAGATGGCATCCTAAAGTCTGAACACCATATTCACTGAATATGGTTAAGAGGTCATATTTTAAAGAAACATTGTATGAAAAACAATATGTTCCATTTCTAACAACTTGTCAGTTTGCAAAATCTCTTAAAGACAAAGTACACAGTTTAAAAAATACAACTTTTCATTCTAAAGCTTGTAATATTTCCATTGCCCCATTACAGCGTCACAATGCGTCACAACTCAGTTACCAAGTATTAGAAATGGTACCCCCTCTAGTGAGAGAAGTGATTAGGGAAAAGATTATTTTACAAAAAGAAGCCCGTTGGACATACCTGCTTGAAACATTGGCCCCCTGTGGTCTCAATGAGAAGCTTGAGTGGCACTGGTTCCTGTAGGTATGTCACTTTGCACCCACCGGATGGCGAGTCTTGTAAGTAAGATTCCATTATTTGCCTTCACTTTATTATGGGCTACTAAGTTATCTGGGTTGGGCGATTCTCTCTTTGATAATGCCCCTGTCTCTTTAGGATCCTGTATCTGCATTGGTCCTTTCCTTATTAGAAGGTCTTCCTTTGCTCCTTATTATATTGTAGGTTGTTCTCTGCATTATTGAAGAAATTCACAAATCTGAAGAAAAACACTCCAGATAAGTAAATAGTGACTGGAAGTTAGATTTGGATAAATGATATCAAAATATGAAAATAATAATAAAGCAAAAAATTTTTTGTGAATATACCAAAAAGAGGTAAAAAAAAAACGATCAATATATAAATCTCCACAGCTATCAAAAGCTGTACCTCCCTAATGTCTATGTTGGTTAATGTCAAATCAGACTTCCGACTTTAATATTATAATCAGTGTCAATGTCTGAAAAATATGAGAATACAAATATCATAGACATCTATTCTAATTTAACACAGCGTTTGTATCAAAATATCAAATATATGGCAGGCTTGCAACAAAAGTAAATGTAATGCTGCTGCCTCATTGTTCAAGTTGTGCTGTGTTAAACCTGTAGCTAGAGGGGGGTGAAAGTAACCTGTTATATACTATTCAACAGGCTTACCATTAGTGTAACTGTGTATGGGATTGCATTCATTACGTGAATACCCAACAGAAACAAAATATCCAGTCCTTGCCGGACTGATCGTGGCAGCCTCTGATACTAAAGTATAGTATCAGAGGCTGCCACAATCGTGGCAGCCTCTGATACTATACTTTAGTATCAGAGGCTGCCACAATCATTACGTGAATACCCAACAGAAACAAAATATCCAGTCCTTGTCGGACTGATCGTGGCAGCCTCTGATACTAAAGTATAGTATCAGAGGCTGCCACGATCAGTCCGGCAAGGACTGGATATTTTGTTTCTGTTGGGTATTCACGTAATGAATGCAATCCCATACACAGTTACACTAATGGTAAGCCTGTTGAATAGTATATAACAGGTTACTTTCACCCCCCTCTAGCTACAGGTTTAACACAGCACAACTTGAACAATGAGGCAGCAGCATTACATTTACTTTTGTTGCAAGCCTGCCATATATTTGATATTTTGATACAAACGCTGTGTTAAATTAGAATAGATGTCTATGATATTTGTATTCTCATATTTTTCAGACATTGACACTGATTATAATATTAAAGTCGGAAGTCTGATTTGACATTAACCAACATAGACATTAGGGAGGTACAGCTTTTGATAGCTGTGGAGATTTATATATTGATCGTTTTTTTTTCACCTCTTTTTGGTATATTCACAAACATTTTTTTGCTTTATTATTATTTTCATATTTTGATATCATTTATCCAAATCTAACTTCCAGTCACTATTTACTTATCTGGAGTGTTTTTCTTCAGATTTGTGAATTTCTTCAATATTTTAGGAATAGGGGTTATGCCCCATATGACACTGCTGGAGTGTCAATAAAGGTGTTTTTATCTATGGAATGGGCAAACTAACCCTATCCATAGATAGATTGTGTCTATTGGAAATGTTCTCTGCATTATCCCTGACTATTGTCATTCTTTTTAGGGAAAAACTCTGTATATATTATGTGTATATGTCATTTTCACTGTATTTGTATTCATACAATATTAAAATAGGGGTTCCTTCTGGTGCTTAGAAATAGTTTATTTTGTATTTGTCCTGTTTTTATTCCAGTTTGCTTTAATGTATTTTTTGTGCTTTGTTTATTGAATTTTTTTATATATTTTTTTTGCTTATTTCTGTGCTTACATTTATGTTAGTTGCCTATCTGGCTTTAATCTTTGTCTTTCTGCAAAATAATATGCTTGTTTTGATGCTTACCGATCTCCTATACAGCCAGGAGAGCGGACTTAAGCAGATTCCTATGTCTGTTTATCTTTGCTTAGCAACGTGACGTCATGACGTGAGTGTGTTGCTGGGGGGAGGGACATGATGCACTGACAAAGGGATTATCCCAAAACATTTGTTATTTGTCCTTCATTCAAATAAATGTCTGCAGCACCTTGTTTTGTGTAAACAGCAACTATTTGCGCAGTCTCTATTTTTTTTTATTTGTACTGTGGATTTTTAAATTCACTTTGAATTCACCTTGAATTCTCACTTTAGTGAATAACTCTGATAAACTTCTTCCCAAGAAGGGTTTATAAGGTAAGGAGCTTTTGCCACAAGAATAGTTCCACTTATGACATGGGATAGAAGATTATTGAACTTGAGCTTAGTCCAAGCTGTGTATGCGGCAAGCACTCACCACACATGTAACTTGGACAAAATTGATCTTCCCAATCAGGAAGGCAATTGCCTCAGCTCCTTAATTGATAGCCAGAGTGCTTAGAGATTTTGGTTTGAAAGTGACACTGGAATATGCAACCTCTCTGAATTTTAATAAACAGGATTTTTCATTTAACTATATTTGGACTATCTTGAGTGTCATCTTACAGATCTGTACAATTATTTATTAAATCCAACCTGCACAGTAGCCTATTAAAGGAGCACAGAATATCAAAATTACTTCAACTTAATAAAGTGGTTTTGGTTCAAAGACTCTGTCTCTTTCCTCTAGCAATGTAAAACATTGTTTTCAATCATACCCAAATATGTAATTCATTTGTTTTTCTACCTACTGGCATTGTTAAGCCCAAACATTACTGATGTGGTTATAGTGCAAGAAGGCTATGGCTGGAGTCCCTCTGTTTCATGTCAAATCATTTTCAACCAGTTTGAAAAATATATACATACATATATATATTATTACTCTGCATTCAAATCTTACCTCTTCAGTCATGATAATGAGAAAGTTTAATTTTCCTGTTATTTGTCCAAAATATTTGGTAATCATGATTCAGTCGTGCCAGATCTCCATTGTGAGAAGTCAGCTTAAAGGACCACTATAGGCACCCAAACCACTTCAGCTTAATGAAGTGGTCTGGGTGCCTGGTCCAGCTAGGGTTAATCATTTTTTTTTTTATAAACATAGCAGTTTCAGAGAAACTGCTATGTTTATAAATAGGTTAATCCAGCCTCTAAAGCCTCTAGTGGCTGTCTCATTGACAGCCGCTAGAGGCGTTTGCCTGCTTCTCACTGTGAATGCTTTTCACTGTGAATGCTTTCCTATGAGACTGGCTGAATGCGCCCGCAGCTCCTGCCACGCATGCGCATTCAGCCGAAGAGGAGGAGAGGAGGCGGAGAGGAGGAGGAGAGCTCCCCGCCCGGCGCTGGAGAAAGAGGTAAGTTTAACCCCTTCCTCTCCCCAGAGCCCAGCAGGAGGGGGTCCCTGAGGGTGGGGGCACCCTCAGGGCACTATAGTGCCAGGAAAACGAGTATGTTTTCCTGGCACTATAGTGGTCCTTTAAACCTGTGTTAGTTCAGTCACTCCAAACAGTGACTTGCTCCAATTAAATCCTGATTAACTGTATAAATATTTTGAACAACTATTGAGGTAGTGATTACCACTTGGTGCTGGGTAATCCATTGTTTTTTTTAAACTGCTTAGAAATAATATGAAAAATATATACAGTGGAACTGTGAAAAAGTAGTGGTTATGTTGCTTTTAAAGTGCATTTTAATTACTTGTTAAAATGGAATTATCCCATTAATAAAACGTTTATGATAATTATGTAAAACATTACACAGGTGGCAATGACATAAATGTCTACTACTACAAATATAAATTATGGCTACAACAAACAAAATTGTTGAATAATTAAAAAATTATTTAAGGCAGGAAAATCAAACTTTTTTTAGCAGAAATAAAATAGATATATTTACTAGTTTTGTAAAAGCTATCAAAGTAACAGCTATAAATGAAAAAAAAAAAGTATAATTAAACAAGTAAAATATGCATGGTTTTATGTTTCTTCCTTACTTACCTTTCCCATGTTGGCTTTTTGATGAGTGCAACAAAGAGGAAACTAATCTCACTTTATATAGTAATCTTTAAACTGGAGTTGAACCTACAAATTTACATGATAATGGATCATGTATGGTTCAATTAAAAAAAAAGAAAACTGTACAGTCTGCTGTTTGAATGGTGGATTTAGACTTCTGCTGACAAAGTTTTTCTTTAATTCAGTGCATTAAGCCTGACAGACAATTTTACATTAGACCTAGCCAGGCATAGCAAAAACATAAAAAAGGAAAATGCATCTGTATCAAGCCACCGTTAATTCACTAAACAGTGATTTGTAGTGAATAACAAAATTTGTTAACATTCTGTGAAAAAGGGTTGTTGTAAATAAAATTTCCAAGACACTGAAAGCTGCTAAACATTGTTATTTTGACTAAAAGTATGTCAATTCTACTTTAATTCATCACAATTCCCTGTTCAGTAACAAAACAAAAAAAAAGGGAATTTGTCCTAAAATTAGAAACAAAATGGCTTCTCTGTTTACAGTGACTCAGTCTCTATTTACAGTTAAAATCTTGGGTATATGTAAGCTTGTGTATATAAAGTAGCAACATACATTATATGGTTGATTTAGTAGTACTCAAAGATAATGTAATAAATAAAATAAGCTGTGATAGTATCTATTTACAAGCATGACCAGGATATCCCCTGAAAACGCATGGGCTGAGTCTGAAAAGGCGCCTGATAGCCATATAATGAGCAATGGGGTGAGAAAAAACATCAATAACTCGAAATTAAGAGAGAGTGTAAAAATACAGGATTGATAGTTAGACTGTGACTATGCTTGCACATTCTTTATGCTAGATCCCAGGGCTTGGGAGAGGAAAAAGAGAATGGGAGGCAAAGCAAGTGATACATGTGTAGTAGTTGGGTTTAGAGCAATACTTTGTGCAAATGTACAAGGTCACTTTCATTCTGCTTGATTCTTTTTTATTTAGCTGATAAAATTCCTCTAACATCACTTTGTTCGCTACAGAAACAAACCCTGCATAAGCCCTACAGTAAAGGAAAAGATTGTACAGCAAATGCTGATGCCAATCATTGATTATGGGGATGTAGTATATGCACCTGCACCGCAAACCCACCCTCATAAACTTAATACATTGTATAACTTGTTCTGCTGGATTGCTACCTTGCCGTGGTGAAGGGGCTTGTGTACTTCAATGAAGCTATGAGCTATACCATGTAGGGGCACCAAGATGGGCAGGTCATAGCAGAGAAGTCAGACAAATCACAGTCCACTGGAGAAGGAACTAGCAACCCACTCCATTAACTTTGCTAAGATAACAATATGGACAAGCACAACCAGAGACATAACACTGGAAGATGAGACCTTCAGGTCCGAAGGTGCCTACCACATTACTGAGGAAGAGCAGAGGGCGAGTACGAGTAGCACCAGATGTAATGAAGTAGTTGGGCCAAAGCCAAGAGGACATCCAACTGCGGATGTGTATGGATGGGAAAGGAGAGTCTGCTGCTGCAAACAACAATTAACATAGGAACCTGGAATAATAGAGCTATGAACCAAGGCAAATTGGATGTGATAAACATGAGATGACAAGGTTAAACATCAATGTCCTGGGAATTAGTGAGCTCAAATGGACTGGAATGGGACATTTCACATCAGACAACCATCACATCTTCTACTGTGGTTAAGAATCCCACAGAAGAAATGGAGTAGCCATCATAGTACATCATCGGGTGGGCAAAGCAGTGTTCGGCTACAATCCAATAAATGACAGAATGATTTAAATTCGAATTCAAGGCAAGCCATTTAACATCAGAGTGATCCAAGTTTGTGTTTCAACCATGGATGCTGAAGAGGCAGAAATTGTCCAGTTATATGAAGATATCCAACACATGATAGATATAACACCAAGACAATATGTTACTATCCTCATAGGAGACTGGAATGCTAAAGTAGGGAACCAAAAGACACCTGGAATAACTGGCAAGTTTGGCTTTGGAGTTCAATACTGAAGCAAGTCAGATATTTGTAGAATTCTGTCAAGATAATTCTCTGGTCATAGCAAACACCCTCTTCCAACAGCCTCCAAGACAACTCTACACATGGACATCACCAGATGGAAAATATATAAATCAGATTGACTATATACTTTGCAGCCAAAGATGAAGAAGCTCTATACAGTCAGCAAAAACAAGACCTGGAGCTGACTGTGGCTCGAACCATAAGCTTCTCATTGCAAAGTTCCGAATTAAACTGAAGAAAAGAAGGAAAGCCATCAGACCAATCAGATACAACTTAAATAATATCTTGTGAATATGCATTGGAAGTAAAGAATAGATTTGAGGGACTAGACATGGACTATAGAATGCCTGAAGAACTTTGGACCGAAGTATATATATTACCCAGGAAGTATATATATTACCCAGGAAACCACAATAAAAAATATCCCCAAAAGAAAGAAATCTAAGAACGCAAACTGGCTATCTGATGAGGCTTTAAAAATAGCCCAGTAAAGAAGGAAGGCGAAAGGTAGTGGAGATTGGGAAAAAACTTGTCCAACTGAATGAAGAATTCCAAAGGATAGCAAGAAGAGACAAGGACACATTCTACAATGAGCAATGTAAAGAGATAGAAGAAGATAACAGAATGGGAAAGTCAAGAGATCTATTCAAGAAAATTGGGGATCTAAAAGTTACCTTTCATGCTAAAGTGGGTGTGATATAAGACAAAAAAGGCAGGGACTTAATAGAAGAACGCCAGATGAAGAGGAAATGGCAGGAATACACTGAAGATCTATACAGGAAGGATCTTAACAGCAGTGATGACCTCAATAGTTGGTCCAATGTGATGAAATCAGAAATCCTGGAGAGCAAAGTGAGATGGCCCTAGGATGCTTTGTTGATAACAATGCTGCAGGAGTTGATTAAATCCCAATTGAACTATTCAAAATTCTGCAAGATGATGCTGTGAAAATTCTGCTTTCCTTATACCAACAAATTTAGAAAACTCAACAGTAGCCAAAATACTGGAAATGGTCATCCCAATCCCCAAAAAAGGCAATGCCAAAGAGTGCTCCAATTATCGAACAATTGCATTAATTTCACATGCCAACAAGGTAATACTTAAGATCCTACAAACTTGACTCAAATAACATATGGACCGGGTAGGGTAGGAGAAAGGAAAAGACAAAGAAACAGAGCAGAAGAGGGGAAGGAAAAAAGGAAAAAGAGAGAAAAGGTGAGAAATAGAAGGAAGAATGAAGGAATAACAGAAACAAGATGGAAAGAGATAACTGAAAGGAAGTGCAACCGCAGATGAGGACCTAACTGGCTGGCAAGGAATGTCCCATATTAATTCATAAGAGATATACAAACTCCATAATTCTACATATCAAATAAGCGGTCTATGCAAATTACCATCTAAGAAACCAAATTTAGACCATCATTATCTACTTAAGACTTTAATTATTTTTCAATTGGTTCTGCTGAGTGGAATCTGCAAAGGTGATTAAAGTAGAGAAGAACTGTAATAACAGCCCCAAAAGAACTCAAATAAAGTGAAAGGGAAGTAACTTCAAATGATGTTCTAGTAGGTAAACTACTGCTGCTTCATATTAAATCATAAGGGGGCAAAGGACTTCTGTAACCTTACATACCAATTAACTGTTTTGCAGCACTTAAGAAATTAACCTCAGAATTAATTCTCTGAGACTTTCAGGGTCTTGCTTGCTTTTTTTTTTTAGCCACATGTATTAAAGATAAGAATAAGAACAAAAGGAATCCCCTAGAAGACAAATGCAAAGAACAGAAATAAAGGTAAAGAAAAATAAGAAAAAAAGAAAAGGAAAAGGAAAAGAAAAGAACGCTAATCGAATAAAGAGCAAGAAAGAGAATATGAATAAACCAAACTATATATCCAATATATGGAGATAGTTTAAAAGAAAGAGGAAAATCGAGGAAGAAACGCTGATAGAGAGGAGAGATTGCAAAGTAGAGATCAAGCAGAAGAAGATAAGGATAGCTAATAATAATAAGAAAAATATCTAATTTTAGCAAATTACTCCTCTTGGTAATTGCCTCTCCGTGCACCTTTTTTTTTTTTTTTGCAGATCTAATATAATTAGAAAGCATAATAGCTACTAAATGCTTTCAAGATCCTTAATTTAATACTAAAAATGACAAAAAAGCTACCAAACAAGAAAAGAGATTATCAACCTTTTTATCACGTCAAATGAATCGAGGTTAATGACGACCATTCTCTTGACTCCTCCTTCCCAGTTGTACCTTTTCCTTCAAATTCAAACAATATCACTCCAGAAATAATGAAAAATCTTCTGGATAACACACTTAAAATAAAGAAAGAAATCCAAGAGAATTCTATAGATCTTAAAAGCGACATTTCTAAAGTTCTCACCCGAATTCAAAGCATTGAAGAGAAAGAAGGACATTTGGAATTCCAGTTTCAAATACTTTAAAGGAACACATAATAAAATGGAGGCAAAAATATTGTCACTGGAAGATAAAGTAGCTGATTTGGAAGACCGCACCTTTAGAACAAAATTAAGGTTTAGAAACATCCCAGAAAATATTACAGACGAAAATTAAAAGACTTCATGAAATAATTTTATTCTGTCCTAAATCTCTCATTAGATTCTCATGATATCAAAATGGAACACAGAATTTTTAAACCATCTAATGTTAAAAATAAAAAAAGAGATGTCATAGTAGCATTTCATTTACACGAAACCAAGAATCTTATTTTATCATCACTGAAAAAGAATAAACCTACTGAAGAAAAATTTAAAGACATATAAGCCCTTCCAGATTTCTCATATACCACAAGAACAAAAAGAGAATTCCCTCCAATCTTCCAGATATTAACAAAATACAACTTAAAATTCAGATGGCGATATCATTTAAGACTTATGATACGGCAAGAGAATGGCTGAATACAACCAATTTTAGATAAATTTGAAATACAAACGGTAAAAGCTAAGAAGAACCTAGAGAACTCTGCAACAAGA